GTTCTCACAAGCATAGTAGAATGCAGATTTCGGTCCTCACAAAGATAGCTAGACAGGAACACACACACACACACACACACACACACACACACACAAAACAAGTTAAAACTACATGCAAAATATACATTTTGCATGTCTGAATTAAAAAAACTTGCCACAAATACACATTAATACAAGAATAATCATGCATGTCTTATTCAGTGGCCTAACTCACTGCAGTGAACGGGGACCTCCATGGGTATGTAGTTCTGCTGGCAGAGGTGAGCGAAAGCAAATGCTAATCTGCAGGGTGCTCTCGATGAGCTGAGTTTACACACAGACATGAACTGACTGGGATCCACCTGACAACACAAACGCAGGTTTGTGAAAAAATCACATGTGATCAACCAAAAAGAGAAAAAAAAGGAAAAAAAGATGGAGATGGGGAAAACAGAAAGGTTTTCATATTTATCTGTTTAAACTTCCCTCCACGACGAGCTTTCCAAACATAAATGGGATATTAATAAAAATGTTCTGGTGAAGAAACCACCAGGACATGCCTGCTGTGTGGGTTTTTTTGTTACTCACCACCCTGAAACAAGAGCTGAGGGGAGAATCGGGAGAAGAGAACAAAGCGTCACAGCTCGCTGGACTGACGGCTGCTGTCGCAGAAGGTTTGATGCATGTAGGTTTCATCTAAAGTCACAAACAAGCAGGCAAAGCTAAGGAGAACCTCGAGGCTGACAAAAACTCTGCAAACATTTGTAGACACAAGATTTCACAATTTCATTGAAACTTGATTTCAGGAAATATTGGGATGTTGTCTGAAATACAAATTAAAGCAGAACGCAGTGATTTGAAAATGATTTAACCACCGAGAACCAAAACCACAAATCAAATGTTGACGCTGTTCATTCTGTATTTGATCCCAGCAAAACGTTCCCCCCAAAATATTTATGCGGGAGTATGTTTCCCATTATCGTGTATCATTTTTAACACTTTCCAAATGTTTGGTAGATTAAATTAATGGCTCTCGCTTGGAACGCAAACTGTTTTCATAATTCCTCGTTTGTTGCATACAGTCAAAGTCAAAATAAACTTTATTGTCATCTCTGCTATATACAGTTCAGTACATAGAGACAGGAGACAACGAGGCTCGAGTTCCATACAGTGCAAAAGAACAACAATAAATCCGGGACCGTGTTTTACATAATTTCGTTCCACCGGATGTTAACATGCGATGCAAATGACAATAAAGCTCCTTGAATCCTTGAAATATAGGAAGAGTAAGAATAAGAGGAATAAATATATATACACTTTGAGACTGAGGTAAGGGAGTAAATATACACTTTGAGGTAAAATTTACAATTGAGATTTAAAGTGACTTTGAAGTCATTGTAAGACGTAAACCCTCTTTCAGTTCTGAAGGTTCAATTCCAAGCAGGTCCTACAATACAATCAGGTGAATACAACCTCAAATGAGCAACAATAAATGACTTATTACTAGGGCTGGGCCATATGATACCGTTCACATAATACCGGTATAATGTTGGGCAACAAAATGAAATATCGCTTTAGAATATGGGTAAAACGCGCATGCGCAGTGCCTTTGTTTTCATAGGCACATGGCGGAAAAAGCATGGCGGCGACGGGGAATGAGAAGGGTGAAAGCAGATCGTTGAATGAAACGGATGAACCAGAACTGGTTTGTAAAAATGCTGCAACTTCAGTGGTGTGGAACTGGTTTAGCTTTTTCCAGCAGATACACAACAAAGCACTATTTTTGGTAGAGCATGCTAGCGGGCCGTTGTTATTACCGTGTTTTTTGGAAATACTGCACACTTAAAATCAATCCTTTGATTTTTCTAAAAATCGACAGTGCCCTTTATAATCCCGTGTGCCTTATGTATGAATTCTGGTTGTGTTTACTGACCTCGAAACAATTTTATGTCGTACACGGCGCTCGAAAATCTGTCAAAAGTTTTAGTACGACTTTGCTAAGCTACGAAGCCGCACAGCTTGATGGATTGTCAGATTATTACGGCTATCGTATGCAGGAGCCTCGCGGAGTGATACGTACAGTGCTTCAACATAATATTATCGTGTTGTGTGTGTAGAACCTCTTTTTAAGTTTTGTGGATATTATACATGGTTATGCTGAGGGCTTGTCGGCCAGTTTCCACTGGAAATGCCTTTTGGTTAAACTGTCAGCAAGGAATTTGCGTTTGCACTGTTAAATTTTTATATAACTTTAATGCAGATAAAAAACAGCTGCTTGTTTAAGTGAAAATACATTGATGGGTTTTTTTGCACTAATAAAGTTGTGGAGTCGTAAAGTATTTTGTCTAGTGTCAATTATATCGTCAGTTATATCTTATCGTACATTTTCAAATGTATATCGTGATAAATATTTTGGTCATATTGCCCTGCTCTACTTATTACAGCATGTCATTATTTATTCAACGCAAATAATCTAACATGCAAAAACGCTGCGCACAAAGTCTAACGACACCCTCACTGCTTCCAAAGGAATTAAGAGACTAATTAGAAAATCAAATGCATGAGATTAACTGATCATTAGTGAGTGTGAGCATCTCTATGACAGAAGATTTTTGGCAGTTTGCTGCTCTGGAGAATTCAGCTGTGTGTTACCACAAAGTGCTCAGAGAAACTACTAAAAACCCAAGAGCTACATCTCAGACTCCTGGCACGTAAGATCTTAACGTTCGAGACAGTACATTTATAAAATGATTGAATAAGTGTGGCTTATTTGGAAGGACTGCCAGGAGAAAGCCTCTTCCCTCAAAAAAGTGTCACGATCTGTGGGAGGCAGGTCACGTTTTCTAGAAGATCCAAATGCAGACGCTTGGACTAATCCTAACAAAAGCGAGCCGTTTATTAAGGCTGATCAAAACTTTGCAAAAATACAAAATAAAAGGGAAAAAGTGGACAAAGACTTTCACTAACAGAAAACTAAATGGGGAAAAACTGGTAACAAGGATCCTGGAACATGAGCAAGACACATGGAAGAAGAACGGGCGTTCCGGCACAGGACAGCGGGACAATATGTACACAAGAGGATGGTGAGAGGAAGTGAAGGCACGGGAAAGGCAGCAGAAACAAATTAGACAAAAAATCGGAATTGAGCATTAAGACCCGCAGTGTGAACGTAGCCTAAGTCACTGAGTCGACCATGAACTCCTCCGTATACCAAAGTTTTCTACTCAAATATGAGATTATTGGTCTGACAGCTAAAGTTTGGCATTAACTGGGTCATGGAACAGCTGATGGAACGACTGAAAAACATATCATTTGACGTGTTGCCATGGCGCACTCAAAGTCCAGATCTCAATCTGACAGAAATGATGTGGCGGGCCCTTCAGAGAGCCGTGCATAAGCAAACGCCCAATAAGCTGAAGCAATGTTGTAAAGACAACAGGGCCAAAATTCCTCCGCAGTGATGTGAGAGTTGTTATTCATCTGAAGTCACATTTAATAATTTTAAGACTTGCTGAGGACCAAATCATTTTTATGTAAAACCTTAGAGCTGAAAGAGGATTTTATTTATTTATTTTTATATCTTTCATCACTAACAGGGTGATGACATCAACAGATGACCGAGGAACACATTCCACTTCATGCAATTCCAAACTTATGCTATAATGGATGCTGGAGTTGAAGTGTGTACTGCTAACAAGCCTTTCTTTGTCCCTTTCTATTTGCCCCCTGCCAAAAAATTGATTTTTATCAGTCATACAAGCAAACAGCTTTCCACTGATCTTCGTACATAAATGGACCCAAGCCCAGAATATTGCTATGCCCAGTGAAGTTTCTGTCTGCTTTTTCTTTCAATGTCAGAGCTTTAACATGTGCTACGGAGTGGTTTATATTTTTTAATGAATTCACTTGAGGGCCTGAAGACTATAACCGTTCATGATTATTTTAATCCTGAGAACATTCCTCGATTATTCAGTCCTTACCCAGTCCTTTTTCACTTTAAAACCTTTTTGTTGTATTTTCGATCAAATGTAGAGTTTAAGTAGAGTTTAAATTACAAATCCTTGAAATCTAGGCTTTATTTCATATTGCACATCTTTTTGAGAACTGGACCGATGCCATGTGTTGATTAATCTCACTGATCCTACCTGCCAGGTGTAGAGAAAATCCTCCAAGTTTTTAGCCTGAGATCCGTCAAACATAGGAAAATCATTTCCTGCGTCGTTATCGTTGGTCCCAAACAGACCGGTGGAGACACCTGTGCAGGCGAGAAAGGTGTATATGTGTGAGAATATGAAGACAGATATTTATAACGGGCCATGCTGAATCTTTCCCACCATGCAACCATCCATCCAGAGTGAAGCTGCACAATTCAAGCGACAGGTCACATGACACAAACATCCCACGCTGACTGGACACCTGCACCACGTTTGATGCTTTCCTGACTGTCACTCCATCATCAGTGAGAAACGTGTGGCTGACGGCGCCGCTGCAGTCGGTCCTCACCTGCGACACAAGCATTTACCCGTCTTATTCCTCATGGCCTGAACGCTCTTTATTCGTCGAGAGTAACACATACCTGCCCGTTGCGCTGAACGCTGATAGTGTGGTTATTCATTTGTATCAGGAGGAGCTTCTGCGTGTCTGTGCCGAGCAGCAGCGTGAACGACGGATCGCGGCCGACGTCTCGGGCCAGGAGCAGTGGACACGAACCTGGCAGCTCATACAAGTGACCGTCAAACGTCACTACGAACTGATCTGCCACCAACAGAGCTTGGTCTTTGGCGAGATAAGAAGGGAAAAACAGAGAATTCATTGAACCCTCATGTGGTGTTACTCATGCAATGTTGGCAGGTCTGGTGGACTCACTGTTTTACAGGGTTACTAAATCAAAAATCTAAACCATTTTATGATCGGTGTCTTTTTGTATTATTTTGTCTTTTTTTTTTTTTAACTTGACTCACATGTAAAATCTATCTCATGCTCCCGTTTCTTTCATTCAGGGAACATTTCTAAGCTAGAGAAAATTGCTGCGTTTGTATCATTGCGCCTGGATGTTTGTAATGCTTAAAAAAAATCTCTGTCCCACATTCACCCTCAGTCTTATGGGAGCCACATCTTCTCAAATATTCCTCATCTCATTCTACATCCAGTAGCGAGCCGCGTGTCGCCACGTAAAAGTTCAACGTGCTGTTAACAACACTTAAATCACGATTAATGTAAAAAGAAAATCATATTAAAACAATAAACATAAATAAAGACATGAATAAGAAAAGGATGTCAGCAGAAGGCCTGATTAAAAGAAATGTTTTGAACTGTTAATCAGTTAAACTGAGCTGGAGTGTTAAACTGTTCCAGAGCCTCGGTGCCGCAGGACGAAAGGCTCTGACCCCCCCGTCGTCTTCAGTCTTGTATGAGCCAACTAGCATATTAGTGAAAACAGCGAGCAGCACTGTGTTTAACACGAAGTAATCTGGAGTGTGTCCGTTTAGCTTCCTACACGACTGTGAGAATTTTAAAAGAAATTCTAAACTCCACTGGCAGCCAATAAAAACAGAGTAAAGTAGGGGTGATGTGAGCTCGCTCGCTAGAGTGCGTTAGGAGTCTGGCTGCAGCATTGAGCGACACACAAAGTCCTGACAATGCAAAACATAAGCTCAAAAAGACAAAACACACCCGAAGGCACACGTGTACACGCTAACAGTCGCGTGAAGTCATCAGAAATATGTTATTTGTTCCGTTCATCGTGGAAACCAAAGGGAAGGAATGTGAAGCTGAAATAATAATAATAAATACTTCATGTTGACATGCAGTGCCCTTTTTACCTACGCCTCCACTCATAGCTGGTCTAACTCCATATTTAGTTACTCCATGCTCATTACTACATGTTTACAACATATAAGTCATTATTTGTTTTTAGACAAGTGCCTCCAGTACTGATTTACTTTGAAGTGTTATGTTGGTTAGTTCAGGTATCTTGTGTTATTTGTTGCAGATGTGTTCCAGCCATGACCTAAGTGTTTTGAATGATGTATTAAATATGAACAAAACAAAACAAAAACCCCTCTATGATGTTTAATCTAATAATCTAAGATAATACAAAACAAAGCTAACAGTTATGGTCCTGCGTGCTGACACAGAGGTTTTAGTTCTTTGATCTTTAGATTTTTGTTGATTATTCAATTTTCTTTGTTTTTTTATTGTTTACAATTCGATTCCCTCTTTATTAGTTTATCCTGGTCTTTCACTGTGTGTAAAGCTGCTGCACGTATCCATGGTCTAACCTCTGCACTTGTTAGTTACTTCCTGTTTTATTTTGTTAGTCATTTGTGTCCTTATTGGTTTCATCTGTATCTCGTTACCCTCGTCTGTCTACCCCCCCTTGTTTACCTCATGTATGAGTACTCCAGCTCTGCCTTTCTCTGCAGTTTTTGAGCATCTGTTTAGTCTCCCAGTGCGTTCTCTGACAGCTCTGGATTGTGTTTCCCTTTTGCCTCTGGATTTCTGTGTCCTTTAGACTTCATTAATCAAAATAAATGCTCACTTTTCCCCATTCAGTCTGTCCTGGGTATTGTTTCTCACCCTACAGCACATAACACTTTACTGACTTTTAAATAATATTTATATGGACTGAAGTGAAGAGGTTATCGAATACCAACTGAGCGTGCCTAAAATGCACCTCCTGAGGTCCTATTTGCAACAATTACCAGGCTGGTATTGCTACAGCTGGTTTCCATGCAGATACTGAGGCTCGCTCTGCCAGACCTGTCAGTTAAATCCTCACATAAAACATTTCAAACGAGATCTGAGAAAAGACAGAAGAAGAGTACAGTTGAAATACACCAGCCTGGGAACAGTGACAAGTTCTTTTTGAGGTTCTGGGACTCATGAAGTACAAATGGAGAAGATTAAAAACTGAGTGAACTTTTCCAGAAGTAGTGTGCCTTCCAAAAGTCATCTAAGCAAAGAAAAATATCCAGGAAATCACAAAAGATCCAAGAAAAAAAAGGAAAAAAAGAGAACAGCACGACTTGTAAACCCGTAATAAACATCAGCGTTTATGACACCTCGACACTTTGTGTCAATACGGTGTCAGTAAAATTGATCAACAGCACTGTCATAAACGTGTAAAACTGAGTAATTAAAACGGTGCCTTACGTGTGAAGGGGCTGTCCATGATCTTCCTTTTGAGGCGGTAGAGTTCGGCAGTGGGTCTGACAGCGGCGAGGGTCAGCAGAGGTCTCAGGATCCACTCCTCCAGGAGGATCTCCATCAGCCCAGCGTTGGCCGTCCTTGACCGGGGCAGCTGTGGCAGCGGCACCGACACAATCACTGAACATTCACTTAAAAGGAAAAACAAAGGGAAAAAAATCCAACTGGAATCATTTTTATCCATCAGTTGTACTCTGGATCAAAACTTGATCTTTAAACTTCTTGATCGAGTTATTGTTTAACTTTAAACAGGTCCAGCTTTAGCTACGAACATCTAGGTGCACATAGCTTCGAGAGCATTTCGGTGACTATAATTCAACGTGTAGTTTGGACCTGCAGTGAACCCAAATAAACTGACCATTTTCAAAAACAAAACCCCCCAAAACAAAACAGTGATATAGCTGTCTTAACTCTGATATGTGTAGTACCTGGGGAAGAATTTGTAGACTGATGCAAGCCGTTTTCTGACTCCAGACAGAGCCATCGCCAGCCTGGTCTCAATCCAGTGGTAGGCATGCTGGCCTGCCTGATTGACACATTGACACATTCATCAGGTTCAAATAGGTCTTTTAGCAAAGGCTGAAACAATGGATGGGAACAATGTGAAAAGCACAGGAGGAAGAGTGGGTGTAAGAGATCGTGACACTTGAGCAACTGTTGTACATCAAAACAATCTATCCCTCTCTATGTTTTACATATACAGCTGCTATGTTTCATACTAATAATGTATGTGTGAAATTATGCCCTTTCTCTTTTATTATGATGTGAAAACATTATAAGAAATAAGTATGAATCAAATAAACATTATGTAGTAGGATAAAAATGTGATATGGGCCAGCCTAAAGCATAAACAACTCATCACTACAAGCTGTCTTTTTCCACACGGGAGCGAGGGAAGAAGAATCCCAGCAGACTGGACACTACGCAGATGTTTTCCGTATCTCACTTTGCCAATATAAATGACTTTGCTGTTTCATAACATATTATCTATATATATCCATATCTATCTATCTATCTATCTATCTATCTATCTATCTATCTATCTATCTATCTATCTATCTATCTATCTATCTATCTATCTATCTATCTATCTAT